TCGAAAACCCAAGGAGGGGTCGCTATGAATCGGGGCCGACTCGACGGCAAACAACAACAACAACAACAACAACTCAGTTCAATGTTTGTTGAGGTAAAAACAGTTCCAAGTGATTATGTCTGGGCAAAGCAAGCATCTTATGACACTGAGTGAAGCTGTGAATAGTTGTGAACCTGTAACTCAACGACAGTCATGGTATCTCACAAGGTTCATATGAACACAGGTCCAGGGTGATTCATAAACAAAATCACAAACCAGGTATATCACTACAATGTGGTGATAGATGGAATTTATCAATACAAAGCCATCCATCCATATAAGACATAAATGTCATAAGAAATATGGTATTAATAGTGTTTACTTCTTATTTAAAAGAAGGATATTCTCATGAATTTCTAGATGTGTTTTACTCACCAGTGAATTTTACTAGGTTTGAGATGTACATTTAAGTCAGTAGATGCCATTTTTCTTTAGGACATTTTAAAGAAAAATGTGATAAATTCACTGATATGATAGTGAAATGTCTCCTTTGTAATGACAAGCAACAGCAAATCATTAAGAAAAATACTTCTGACTTCTTTTACCAATTTGAGACCCATTAATGCAGGAGAAATTTATCCATTAAAAGTCTTTCACTAGGAATCCTCACTATGAGAAAATGACAATGTTATTTATTTAGGCCAGTGAAAAATAGCCATAAAATTCTCTCTTCTTTTTGCATTTGAGTTGACAATAATGTTTCTGAATACAAATGACACCTGCTCTACAGATCTCAATAAAATACTTTTATTCTGAAAATAGTAATACTCTTATATAGATTGCTCAAAGACAGCTGAATAATTTGACATTACCTACTTCACTTGACATATCCAAACATTGAATTCATTCTACTTCCCTGAAAATTTTGTTATGTGTTCCTGTAGCAGAGATGGCTGGCTATCTATCCAGTATTTAATCTATTCTTCTTACACAGAACCAGAATTCTGGGTTCATTTTAAGGTGGCTGAAAGTTTCACTAGACTGTTTTGCAGCTAAAGCCAAATAACTCTTTCTGGACAAAGAAATGTATACCTAAAAATTCAGTTTGGACTGTCAGCAAATTTCTTTAAAAGAGTATGCTTTTATTTCCTTTATAAAATGTGTCTTTATTGTTACTTCAAATATTGTGATATATAGACTTCAATAGCCATCTTGGAAATTAAGGGAAATTCTAAAGATGGCACATACGGGTTCTTGATGAGTATAGGACAATGTCAATAGGCATAGGGTTATAGGTCAACAGTCGCTGCTCATTAAATAATGTTGATTTTCTCCTAATATTTTCATGGCCTCAAATGTCCTTTCTCTTTTCTCTGACCAGGTGGTCACTAACCCATGAAGCCTTTTCTTGTAGCGGCAGAGAAAACAAACCACTCCATAACATATATTGCTTACTGCTTACATGTAGCTCAGCTTTTCATATCTACATTAGTGTGTGCTCCTCAAGGAAGAAGAGTGGGTCTTTTTTTTTTTTTTTTAACTTATCAAGAAAGGAGCTCTGGTAGCATAGTGCCTAAGGCATTTGACTGCTAACCAAAAGGCTGGTGGTTCAAACCCACCAGCCACTCCTCAGAAGGAAGGTTGGGCAATCTACTTCTGTAGTGATACCGCCTTGGAAATCCAAGGAGAGGTCACTAGGAGTTAGGTTCAACTCGATGGCAGTGAGTTTGGTGTTTTCTGGTTTTTATCAGGTTTAGAGTATCCACAATCAGTTTAATTGAAAGAATGGATGCAGATGCAAATAAAGGAACTTGGAATCATTCAAGTGTGTGAAAGAGAATTATAATATAGAATTTAAAAATGTGCACAAAGTAAAAGTCAAAGGTGAAAACAGTCAGTCCTGTCTGGAAATGTAAAATGTTTGTATCAGCACTGGAGGCCCTGGGAGGCATAAATGGCTAAGGGCTCAGCTGCTAACCGAAATGTTACAGGTTTGAGTCTACCCAGAGGTACCTTGGAGGAAAGCCTTGGTGATCTATTTTTAAGAAAATTATCTAATGAAGGCATGTTGTTGTTGTTGTTGTTGTTGTTGTTATGTGCCATCAAGTCGGACCCGACTCACATCGACTTCTCCTTGGGTTTCTGAGGCAGTATCACTACGGAAGTATATTGCCCAACCTTCCTTCCAAGGAGTGGCTGGTGGGTTTGAACTGCCAGCCTTCCGGTTAGCAGTCAAGCACCTTAGGCACTACGCTGCCAGAACTCCATTGAAAGCATGTTGTTGTTGTTATGTGCTGTCAAGTTGGACCGACTCATAGCGACCCCTCCTTGGGTTTCCGAGGTAGTATGACTACGGAAGTAGATTGCCCCATCTTCCTCCCAGGAGTGGCTGGTGGGTTTGAACCACCAGCCTTCTGTTAGCAGTCAAGTGCCTTAAGCACTATGCTACCAGAGCTCCTAATGAAGGCATAGTTCTACTCTAATACACATGGGATCACTATAAATCAGAGTTAATTCAAGAACAACTGGATTGGTTTTGGTTTAGATCCCCATTTGGGTAGAAACATTGACAAATTTGTGATTAAACCAAAGTATTCATGTTATACTCTAGAACACCAAATTGTGTGGGTGGGTGTGGTGTATGTTTTGTAAAAGTTTTGGATTGTTTATATAGAGCTATTTTTCATTTAATATCTACTAAACAAAGGTAACCCTGTCAGCCTCCCCCCACCCTCCTCTTTAGTCTTCTAAAATTATATTTCCTGTTTGTTTTTTTACAAATTTTAATTTCACATGAGGGCTTTAACACATAATCTCTTTAAATATCTAAAGATAAATTATATAATAAAAGCTAGATTACTGGAAGTGGAATAATCACTGTTATCTCTGTCTTATAAAGTACTCTACTCAAATGCTTTTTGTGTCAAGAAGGCAGTTTGTTTAAAAGTTTCAGTTCTGTGACTTTAAGGCAAAAGGTCTTAAAACAATGTTTAACTCCACATATCTGCATGACATATAAATACAATGACATTTTCAACAGTAACATCAGATTTGACCTTTTGTGTCCAATCGTCTGGGATGTCGTTTTTTAGCGCTTTTTTTCCCCCATCTTGTTTATTTTTCAAAGGCAAACCTTGAAGCATAAACTTTAAGAATACAGCAGTTCAAAGACTTAGAGAAAGTAGCTCTAAGAGTAGAACAGAGCAGAGTAAAACACCATTAAATTTAAACCTTTTCAAACTTTAAAATATTTGAAGTAGTTTTATTTCCTCCTTACTTAAATTAAATCAGATCCCTAAAGACACAAATGAAGTTGCAGGAAAATATATTGGCAAAAACGCAATTACATTAAAAAAAATCAGCTTAAATTAAAGCACATCTCATTTATTCACTGCAGCAGAAACATGTTCATGTTTCACAAACTGGTATTTATTGATTCTACAACAATGAGTATATCTTCCATTTTGACAGTAAGATTGTTAGAATTGGGGTATAGAATCCTAATGTTTTACTTTTTTATTGTTGCTTTTAGTTAAGAAAGCATAATTCATGTGATACATGTAAATTAAAATAATTCACACCAAAACTGTTCAATATTGGCTTAGCCTTACAGATTTAAAACTATTTCTGGTATATGCTGGTATTCAGGAAAGATAGATCTTAATGAAATGCTGTTTTAGCAAAGAAATTTCACAAGAAAGTGTTGTCCTTTGATCATAAGCTAGTATTACTTAATAGCTATAATTGGTTAAGATCAAGTTTTCAAAAGAAGTTAGTAGGATGTTAAGAAAATATTAGAAAAAAATATTGGTAAATGTCTGAACCAAAAAAAATGACTGCAAACTATTATCAGTAATAAATACACTGATGTTATTTTACTACCTATAAGATTTAAAATGTCATGTTTAAATAGCCTTTGAGAGGTCTCATCTCAATATTTTAGATCTGAAATACTTGGTAAAGAACAATTCTGAGAAAGATATAATTTTTAGAAGTTGATCAAATACTTGAAATCATGTTTTCTTACTACGTATTTAGCTGATTTTACTTGTATGTCATTAGAAAATATTTTGATATATCCTTAACTCAGTTGTCCTGGAACTCGAATGTACATTAGAATCCTTGGGAGGGCTTGTTTAAACTCAGAATTTCTGACTCTGTATGTCCCAGGTAGGGCCTGAGAATTTTCATTTCTAACAAGCTCCTAGGTGATGCTGGTGCTGCTTATATGAGGATCACCACACTGAGAACCACTGGTTTAGAATAATAATAATAATAAACAAGTTATTAATGTAAATTAAGAAAAATAAAATACATGAGTATTTTTAATCTGTAAGATTCTAGTAAAACTCTGTTATTAATGATACAGAATACCTTGTTCAATTTATTTAAGTTTGCTAGAGGGTTGACTAAAAAGCTTAACTTCTATCAGGGGAAAAAAAAAGTATGTGTTAAACAACAACAAAAAAAGGTCTATTTTTTAATGTCATACCATAAAAAGTTTTGCTTTCAATCATTGAATTTTATTTTAAAAATGTGTAATCATATCTAGTGAAAGATTAAAAATCAGAAAACAAGAGTGTTATATATATACTATCTCCTATACAAATAAGTTAGGAAAGATTTTTATCCTTGGAGTTGTGAGAGCTGTGTTTCTTTAAAATAAAATGAATACTTGATTTTGATGCTCTGTGACAACTTTTCCAGCTCTAAATATATCCTATTGGACAGTGTTAACTCATACATGCCTGTGTCACTAAGAAGTTATTACCTACATTTGCTTAGTAAAGAAAATAAATTTGTTGAAGGAACTCCCTAAAATCTATAGAAAAGAATGACCTGTAAATTTGCTAGTTATTAATTAACTAAGAGTTTCAACATAGAAATTGATGTAGAGAATACAATTAAACTGCCTGTCATGTCTCTTCCAGGTGTCCATAGGTGCATTTGCTTGTTTGATCCTTGAATATATATTTTATTGAGACACAAGGTTTTATTCATAATAACAACTTTTTTAGTGTTTAGACAGGCAGATGCTGAGGTTGGTAACAGTCAGTAGATGATTCTTGAGTAGATTGTGGAATTTGCTGTTGCTCGGTAGCAAAATTAATAAATACCTGAAAGAAACAATGAAAATAACTGTTAATTCATAAGAACACTTGACGTTTTGGTCTCAACATTTATTAGAAGGGACTTTCTTTCAAAGTACTACTCAATCATTCATAAAGCCACAAATCATCAATTCATATCACCCTCTCTTAAAATGCCACAAATGTGGAAATCAATTTAAAACACAGCTCCGGGGATGATATACATTTCTGGAAAATTAATAAATCACCTAAGAATTTGCAATAGCATCTACATAATTTTAGAAAAAAGTTGTGATTTAATTTTACATTTCTGGTACTCTTAATAAACCAAGCACTTATCCTTCCAAAGTTATCAATCATTAAATTAAAGTAGTCTTTTAGGAGATAAGTAAGATAGAGAAGGAACATTTTTTACACTATTAAATATTATCACTAAGAAATTGTAGTCCTGTTGATTATGTACCTTAAGTGGAGAGCATACAGTAAACAAACCTCCTAATATTCACCATCCTTTTCACAATTTAAAAACAAAAACACAAACTGTGGTTAATTAAAAGAAATGATCAAAAAATAATTTGGCTAATTTAACAAAGTGACTAAATTAAATCTCACGAACATACCAAAATGCAAACTACTGAATTATTCAAGGTACTATACCTGTTCCAATGTGGTTTGGTTAATGGAGTAGTGTTTGATATTCAAGAAGTTCTTATTATTCTCTAAAACTTTGAACAAGTCAGCTAAACATCCCCATCTTTTTGGTACATGATATTCCAATAAATTAAGGCGTTGTCCCTAAAAGCCAAAAGTCAATATTTGAATATATCACTAATGAGCAATTATTAAAATTGATTAAAATACACTTAATTGCCTAATAAATGCAGTTTTTTTTTTTTCTAACCATAGCAACCAATTAGGTTTGTGGGTCCATTTTGAGCATCTCTAATAAACACTTATTGATGATAATTTGCCAAGAGGGATATTTCATAAATGATATTCACCTGGATTGAGTTATTGTTTTGCCTCCTATTATGACCCTACATTGCTGCAACCATGGAAAATATATCTTTAAGGGAGTGATGATATGTCAGAGATATTTGATAAGTAGAAAATTAATGTAGTATAAGAGCGATGTTGTGGAGGATAACTGAAGTTGACACTAGGATTTGTGTTCAGCTCTCAGTTGTCCTCAGCTTTGGCTGAGTGACTCTGGGTAAGATATTTAGCTGCTCTGAGCCTCATTTTCATATATGCACAATGAGGATAGCAATATCTATTCTACAAATTTCTTTAGAATGGTACTCAATATGAATATTATAGTGTTTTGCAGAGTGCTCTTTATATTGTAGGATATTGATAAATTTTTGTTAAAATAGACAGGAAATAGTGATTTTATGGACAACAACCTATTGGAAGTTATGATAAACTAGAATTACACAACTATCCAACAGAATTGTACACCATGCTTCTTAAAGTTTAATGTAAATAGGAATCATTTTGTGGCCTTAATATATTATAGATTCTGATTCAGTAGGTTGGGCCCTAACATTCTGCATGTCTAACAAGTTTCTGGATAATGCAGATGCTGCTGGTTCAGTACCACAAGGTTGTAGAAGATTCTGATCCCAAGCATAGAGTTCTTTCTGTGAAATAATGCTGAAACCATCATCTATCACCTTGCAGCAAACACCTTTGTTGTTGTTGTTGTTATGTGCCATCAAGTCAGATCCAACTCACAGCGACCCCTCCTTGGGTTTCCGAGGTGGTACCACTAAGGAAGGAGATTGCCCAACCTTCCTTCTGAGGAGTGGCTGGAGGGTTTGAACCACCAGTCTTCTGGCTAGCAGTTGAATGCCTTAGGCACTATGCTACCAGAGTTCCTGCAAATGCCTTTAAGAAAGTAATTTTTCAATCTTCCATCCTGAACAAAATGCCAAATGTACCACAGATAAGAGGGTTGGTGCCTAATCCCAGTCTACTCTGGGTAATCTCATAAGTGGCGGACAAGGCTCCTCATCCTTAAGAGCTGTCAAGTAACATGAGCTGTCCATGGTATTTTTGGTAGGGAGACATGGCATATATGTAATCATCAAACCAAGAAAATAAGCAGTATTTATTATAGCACTGAATTAAAACAAACAACATACAAGTACATTTATAGATGAAAACGAAGAAGTAATGCTGAATAGTTCTTTTAAGTACTACCTTAAACTGGATTCCTGGGAAATGGAGCTTCAAGCAGTCAAAAATAGTGTGATGTTGATCTTCTCTCTTACAGAGCCAAATCTTCACTGTATAACCATCACCAAACCTGAGAGTTAAATGAAATAAAAATATTGTTACTACTATATTGATCTAAGATGGGTAAGTTCTAAGTTTAAACATTTTAATGTAGAGGGGGAAAAAAAGTAATTATTCTAAATTAATCATTGAGAGTTCTTGGATTCTCAAAATATGAAACTTAAAAAAATCATCATCATCCAAATTATGTAGTTTGCTATAATTTAATTTATACTGACAAAGACACTGATTTTTTTTTTTAATTAGTAAATCTAGAAATGAAAACAAATTCAATAAAAGAACAAAGGCAGATGAAAACTGAACACAAAGTCCTGAGTTAAAGTATGTAAGAAGCTGGATTGGAAACTAGTCTTGAAAACCAAGCCTTCATTTTATTGCTTCAAGGTCCATAAGCATTAGAATATAGCTGGGGAAAGAGGAAAGGAAATGAATAAATAATTTTCCCAGGCTTTTGTTTGTCATGTGAAACACTTGTACTTCAATTGTACAGTCCTGTGACTGGGAGAGAAGTTGACCTGAGAGATATTGTTCCTAAATTTGTGAGGTTGTAGATTGTAATAGTGTCCAAAAGACTACAGAGAAAGTTATATTCATACTATAATCCCATACATAAATCTCTAAAGATTTATGGGACTCCCAGAAACAGGTGGATTTTTTCTACTGGTTTATTGCAGGTGCCTATCATAGTGTTTGTTACATAATAGTATCTCAGTAATGTGTTTCAATTCAATAGTATTGAATAAAGCACAAATACATGAACGTATCAAGATAGTATTTTTTTCTGTTTTTCTCACTGATGTGTCTGTCTCAATGCCTAATAGAGTGCCTAGAAGATATATAGTAGTGAATAGATGAATGAATGACACATCAAAGAGTTAGTCATTCATTTACAAAGCATTGCTGGGGAGAAAATTGTTACACTTAAGTAAATGTCTGCAAGTGAAGTGATCCTAATACTTTTGTGACTAAATAATTTCTCATGTAAATATGTCCATTGAAGACAGAAAATACAAGATAATGTGTCATTGTTTCAATGGCATGGATCACTTCTGTGAACACCTACAGAGCTCCTAGCCCCAGTTCCATTTCACTGTCTCCTGCATTGATTTTAAACTGTCAGTTATTTCCCCCGAGGACTATGTGTGGTTCCAACAACAGCCTCTCATCATTTTGAGTGGGCTGAGAGGTTGATGAGAATACTGATAAAATGTAAATTAAAAGAAACAGATAAACACCTCCTTATATCCTCTATTTAGCTATGTCTAAGATCATGTGGGGAGCTCTGGTAGCATAGTGCTTAAGGCACTTGACTGCTAACCAGAAGTCTGGCGGTTCAAACCCACCAGCCACTCCTCGGAAGGAAGATAGGGCAATCTACTTCCATAGTGATACTACCTTGGAAATCCAAGGAGGGGTTGCTATGAGTCATGACTTGACGGCACATAACAACAACAACAAAGATCATGTGAAGACTGACAAATTGAGTTAGTACAGGAGGTGTGTATTTGGTTGCCATTCTGCTCACTAGTATGTATTAGATACTGTGCTGCTGATTAAAATGTATTATTTCGCTCTATTTTCACCAAATATACCGGGGTGGTTATATATTTCAATTTTTCAAGTAGGTAAGAAATCCACACATAGATATTTCAAGAGGCTTCTGAAGTGGAGGGTGCATTGTTAGAGGAACATCATAACTACTCCACTGAGTTCTCACTTGTGATTGTGAAAAAAGGTGTGTGGTAGTGGTATTTGATAGAAATGGACTTCTGATTTGTGATTATTAATTCTGATGACTTGAAACAATGTAATGTTTGAGCTGGAAACTGACAGTCTGAGTTTGAATCCAGCTCCTCCATGTACTAGACAAATGAACTAGGCAAGTCATTTAAATTTTCTTACCTCATTTGACTCCTCTGGAATATGAGGCTAATAATAATAGCATCCTGATAAGGTTTTTGGAATTCTTGGGTTGTGCAAACAATTATTGTGTCTAGCTGCTAACCAAAAAGTGAAGGCTCAAGTATACTCAGAGGTGCCTTCTAGGAAAGGCCAGGTAATTAACTTCTGAAAAATCAACCACTGAAAACCCTATGGAACACTGTTCTACTCTGACACATATGGGATTGACATGAATAAGAACCAACTTGATGGCAGCTATTGTATATATATACATATGTGTATATGTGTGTGTGTGTGTGTATTTTATAAGGAGCTCTGGTGGCATAGTGCCTAAGACATTTGACTGCTAACCAGAAGATTGGTGGTTCAAACTCACCAGCCACTATGTGGAAGGAAGACTGTGCAATCTATTTCCATAAAGATTTATCACCTTACATATATATGTGTGTGTGTGTGGTGTATGTGTGTGTGTGTGTGTGTGTGTGTGTGTAGGGTTTTTAGAGGATTAAATGAATTAATCTTTGTAAATCACTTTAACGGCTCTTGACTTGTATAAGTGAGTCAGCAAGTGAGTGAATAAATGGATAGATAGATACATAAGTATAATTTAGGTTCTGCATAGGATATTGTCAAAATAGTATAAATACTCTCTTTGGTGTGAAGAAGTTCACAAATTATTGGAGGAACTTAGATGAAAGTGAATGAAGCAATCAGAATCTGAACTGAAGTTCTACATGAAAAACATGATGAGCAGGAACAGTGAATGGAGAGCTAACCTCACATTTCTATGTAGATTAGGATCCAGTTTTATAATTAAAAGAAATAACAGCCCTATGAGTGTGTTTTGCTTGTTGTTGTTGTTGTTATGGTCATGTGCCTTTGAGTCGGACCAGACTCATAGCGACCCCTCCTTGGGTTTCCGAGGCAGTATCAATACAGAAGTAGATTGCCCCATCTTCCTTCCAAGGAGTGGCTGGTGGGTTTGAACCACCAGCCTTCTGGTTAGTAGTCAAGGGCTTTAGCCACTATGCTACCAGCTTAGGGAGTTTGAAAACAAAAAGCATGCTAAATTACAGTAAGTGTCTAATAAATTCGCACTCTAAGCAGGTATGCACATAATATTTAAACTTTTTTTTTCAAAACAAAACTTTACTGAAAATAACAGACTTATAGCTTTACTTTACAGACTCTAAATTACATAGAAAATATTACATCTTTCTTTCTAAAAACACAACTCAAGAGAAAATATACCTAAAATAGTTTGGTACATGTCTCAAGGTCTCTCTAGAATAGTCAACAAGACTTCTGGACATAAAATTACAAAAATATGACAAATTCAGTTATTAAAGAACCATTATAAATTATTAAATGAATTCATGTTGCAAGTATCTAGTTTATATTAGCTTCACTTACAAATGTTTGTTTATAACTACACACGTTTCAATTACCTAAATTCCCTGAAGGATTTATTTGATTCATATACTTCCTACAGTCTGAAATCTTTCAAAGGAGTCAAGGAATCATTCAATTATATATTCATTCATTGATCTCACATTTCTTGATAAGCCATTATGTACACATCATTTGCATAGAAGGTGATTAAATAAAGATAAATAAATAGGATTACCTGTTACTGAAGGTGTTAATAACAAGTATTAAAAACTACATGCATAAATCAATGGTTATATTCATAATATTTTGTAATACTATATTTTTAGTATCATAAACATTAAATTCAATATATGTAATAGAATACATGCAAAATATAATACACATTTATTATATATACATTATGTATTACATATATATATATATATAGACACACACAATGTGTACTTGTGCATACAATTTTGTATATATATATATATACAAAATATATAATATTTTATATTACATAAAGAAGCTCTGGTGGCATAGTGTCTAAGGCATTTGATTGCTAACTAGAAGGATGTAGTTCAAACCCACTAACCCACTAGCTACTCCCAGGAAGACTGGGCAATCTACTTCCATAGAGATACCACCTTGGAAACACAAAGAGGGGTCTCTATGAGTCGAAATTGACACAATGACTGTGAGTTTGGACATTTTTTTAAATTTTATATTACATAAAGCAAGGCAACAGTGATTTGGAACAGATAAGGGAGACCAGAAAGTGAGAGGAGTGGTTTGGAACAAATAAGGGAGACAAACTTGTCTGTCAGTTTGTCATACTGTGGTGGCTTGTGTGTTGCTGTGAGGCTAGAGGCTATGCCACCAGTGTTGCAATGTCAGCAGGGTTACCCATGGTACACAGATTTCAGTGGAGCTTCCAGAATAAGACAGGCTCAGGAGAAGGACGAGACCATTCATTTCTCAAAGAATTGGCCAGTGAAAACCTTATGAATAGCACTGAAACATTGTCTGAAATATTACTGGAAAACTTTATGAGTAGCCCTAAACCACTGTCCGATACAGTGCTGGAAGATAAGCCCATCAGGTTAGAGGGCACTCAGGATATGATTGGAGAAGAGTTGCCTCCTCACAGTACAGCCCACTTCAATGATGTGGATAGAGTAAAGCTTTCAGGACTTCCATATGCTGATGTGGCACAACTCAAAATGAGAAGAAACAGCTACAAACATCCACTAATAATCAGAACATGGAATGTGTGAGGCTAATAATAATAGCATCCTGATAAGGTTTTTGGAATCCTTGGGTTGTGCAAACGATTACTGTGTCTAGCTGCTAACCAAAAAGTGAAGGCTCAAGTATGAATCTAGGAAAATTGGAAGTTCTCAAAAGTGAAACAGAAAAATGAAAAGATCTTGGGCATGAGTGAGCTGAAATGAATAGGCTTTGGCCATTTTGAATCAGACAATCATATGATGTACTATGCCGGGAAGGACAAATTAAGGAGGAATTGGGTGGCATTCATCATCACAAAGAATGATTCAAGATCTATCTGAAGTACAATGCTGTCACTGATTGGATGATATCCATATACCTACAAGGAAGACCAGTTACCACCATTATTCAAATTTATGCACCAAAGCGACAGATGAGGAAGTTGAAGATTTTTACCAACTTCTGCAGTCTTAAATTGACTGAATATGCAATCAAGATGTGTTA